AGCACTCAAAGTCCCCAGCAGCTGCGGATTCGCTTGCTGAGTTTCAGCTACCTGAGAGCTCCTCAGAGGACTGGAATGTTCAAATACACTCCAGGGAAGATGGATTAGAGGGCGAGATACCCACAGCAGTCAGAGGCCCTGATAAAGGCAAACATGCATTGTTCTGCAATGAAACAACCCACTATCACTACAAAAATTTAACTCTGCCCCCCGATAAGAAGAATGGCTCTGCAGAAGACTTAGGAACACACAAAAGTATTACAAAACTCTGCTATCATGCTGGCAGTTATTCCAAAGATAAGCAGGCTCAGGGTTTTACTCCATTTTGTAGGAAAAATCCCCATGTTGGCTCTCCCATGTGATGACAAACACGGGAGTTTTTGGGCAAACCATGTGTAGTTTCTTTGAAGAGAGGAAGTCAGAGATGCTGTGTTTCCAGAATTTGTACAACTTAATCCCAGGCACAATAAAATGACAGACCAAATGATTTATAGTCTTATATGAGGATTATTCCCTCAGACTGATGAATGATACCTTTTCACTTACCAGCAATTTCTCTAAACTGTGTTAGCTAAGCCTGTCTGCATGCTACTGACAGTTTGCAAAGCCTTGTTACTCCAGAGGAATCTGACCTTGCTGTGGATTATACCAGGGCCTTGGGGAAGATTTGCTTTCAGCTCTTCCTGAACCACTTCAGGCCAACTGAAGTCCTTCTGCAGCCTCTGCACTCTGCTTGGAAAGCTGTAGGCCAGCCAGTCCTGCTCCCAGTTCTAGGAAGGGCCAGGGTGGAACAGGAGAGAGACCTGGGCCAGGGAGGGAAAAAGGGGTTTCATGCAAAATAGCCATTGAGAGATTGGTGTTGTCTTCCCTCTGGCATTGCACTCACTGATTTTTTTGTTAGCATGGTGGGAAAAAGAAGCTAGAGGGTTGCTGTGACTTATTGAAGTAATTAATTCTCAAGCAAGAATAAGAGTTGGCTTGCATCTGCACTATTTAATATGAAAACTGGCATAATTTCCTCTTGCACGAGAAGAGCAATCCCTTCCCTCACTCTTTGCACCTGGCTGACTATTTTCAGAAGCTGGAGAGGCTGAGCAAGCTGCACTCCTGCTGCACTGCTGGGCCCCTTCCAGGGGCTCCATGCCGCTGGAGGTGAGCTGCTCCATGCAGAGCCGTGCAGGGAGGCACAGGCAAACCTGCTCAGCTCAGCAGGACAGCAGCCATGCCCAGGGTCCGTGCCTAAAGCCAGTCTGTCTGCTCCTGCAGCCGTGGGCTGTGGGGCTGCCTGGCTTCGGCAAAGGGCGCTGCAGCTGAGCAAGTGCCTGGGGCATCCCAGCAGCAAGCTGGGACCTCTACTGACTCTCAGCTTTGGAGCAGCCTCGAGGAAATCCTTTGCCAAAGCTGCAGTTTGGGCTGTGGAAAATCCTTGTTCAAGGGTGAGGAAGTGAGCAGGAGTGGCTCACTGGGCAGCTGAGCACCAGGACCCAGCCTTTGGGGCCAAGAGCCAAAACCCCACGTACTTGTGCCGATAGGTGAAAAATGCTGGGAACTCAAGAGTGGCCGGAGTGTGTGATGTGCCTCACTGCTACTTGGGTGTGAAGGTTTTGGTTCCTCTGCCTCACAGGGGCTGAAGTTTGCTGTGGGTTTCATACTTGTTCTCAGTGTGTAATTCTGTAAAGGGGGAGAGACGAAAGCTGCTCTTCCCCTGCGCTACTGCTGTTGTGGAGTATCAGGATTTATACAAACCTGCAGAGGGAGGAAAGAAATCAGTAGTCTGTTTCCCTGTGAGGACTTATTCATGTAGGTCTTAAGCAAGAGGAAGCTGAATTTAATCCCTGGAAGTCACAGAAACAGCAAACTGTTCCACCTCCTTGTCATTCCAGAAGTTAAGCTTCCGCTTCCACATACCTCAGTACACCAGTAAAGAGTAATTTTCCATATCTGTGCATGTTTTCATTTAGCTGCAGTGATGAGGAATATTCATTTCCTGCTCCATTTTGGCAAAGTAACTCTTAAAGTCTTAATTCAGATCTGACTTACCAGGATAATATGACAAAACCTGTTGTTGTGTGTATTTTCTGCAGAACCAGGTGATCCTGTTAATAGGTGTAGTCTGAACAATGCCCTGCAGAAATGAAACACATTATCTTTTACTTAACATTCTATTGACTTACTGCTATAGCAATACACTGAGTACCCTTTATCGTGACTTGATACTGGTCCTGGTTCTCTTCCTATTTTCTGTCTCATCTTTCTACTGTTCTGCTTGATTTACCCCAGTGAATCATCAGACAGTTCCCATTATTAAAAAAAATCAGTTACTTTGATGTTCAATGGGCAGATCCACATTTTGCATAAGCAGGCATTTTGGATGGCGGATCGTGGCAATACTGAATGCCTGAGCTGAAAATAGCTTACTATGGACTGTTGGGATTCAACCTCTTTTCCTCCTGCCCCAGAAAGAGATGTGTGTGCCATGGGACTCTCAATTACCAGCCCTTGTCTCTGAGCAGGGCACTCACTGGGCAGCAACCCTCCTGTGCTTCAATTTTCACAAAAAGGAAAGTAACTTTCAAAAATGTGAGAAATGAATCCTAATTTAAGCCCTCTCAGGAAGTTTGTTGCAAACTCCAGGAGAGCCCCACACAGCCTTTAAGGAAGGCCAGACAGCACCTTGAAACAAACCCTAAATCAGATTGTGATGACAGCCAAAGCAGTAGTGACCTCTGCTACTAATATGCAGAGATTAGAAAGACCTGTGGTTTATTCTGAATATGCAAAGGACCAGACTTGCTCCTCATGTTAGTCTAATGAGGTCAGAGGAGCAATACCCTGCCAACCACTAAATGCAGCTTCTGAGCTATAAACTTAACTATATGTGTAATTATTTGCAGGATGCATAATAAATGAAGACTACCAGGCTTGACACGATTAATATTAGTGCTACCAGCTGTGTTTTGGCTTGTGGGCTTGCAAGGGGAGGTAATTCTGTCTCTTTACTTGGCCCATTTGCTGAGTACATGGGAGCTGCTGTCTGCTTGCACTTCTCAGACAAGTCTTTACATTTCCTGCAATGGTTCCTCGTAGGCAGAGTGGTGCAGGTTTTTAAGTCCCTCTCTGAAATCTCAGCACTTGCATTCACAACCACACAACCCTGTTGTCCTTTGCCTCATTATGCAAAACCAGGCTTCCCTTCATCTGCAAGCAGCAGTATCCCTAAGAGGAGATGTCTGAAGCCAAAGTTACCAGCTTCTTTATGAGTAATAACTCTTGAAAAATTCCCAACTCCAAGCATATGTTCTTGTCCACACCAACTGCAACAAGAAGATGAAAGTCTTCTAAAAGGCTTGAAATGAAATTGCAGAATTTCCTGTAAACCATCCAGCTTCACAGTCACCATCAGTCCCAGAAATGGAGAATGGCTTGTTGCACACACTTGGTTGTGCTTCACAGGGCCGAGAATCTTAAATCCAGTAAACTCTGCTGTTATCTTCACCCTGACTTGGTACTGCACATGCCTTTCCAAGGCCATGCACCTCCTTGCCTGTCTGCAGGGTGATGACACCAACTCTGGGATGTGTTTTGTTCAATTTCTCCCTTCTTAGAAAGTGTCACAGCTGGGGGAGGAGAGCTTTCTGATCTTACTTGGATAACTTGGAGAAGAGCCAGGGCTTTGTCTTTTCCTGGAAATGTAACTGCAGGAAGAATGAATCACCAGGTTGAACCTGTATAACCAACTGAAAACAAAAGCTCAGACTTCTGTGTCTCACTTGGAAATAATCGGGGGAAAAATAGGCATCCTGTTTTGAAAACCACTACCAGCTGACAGGACAAAAATGTTGCACGTGTGATGTCTTTTGAAGCTGACAAGTAACCTAAGACTACAGCCATTTAAGGGAAAAATCCCTGAGCAAAACAGTAGCTAGGGAAATAGAATATTCCAATGTTTGGGGGAGAAAAGTAACCAGGGAGGTTATTCAGAACAGCCAAGGTGGATTTTTAGTAGCCCTAATGTTTCACGCACTATTAAATCCCCTGTACTACCTTGGCTTGCAGTGAATACAAGCAAACTAGGGCTGGGGAGCTGTGTTTGATAGCGTAAGGACAGACTGCAGTGCTGCTGTCATTGATTAAATCCCTCCTTTTGCCTTTGCTGCAATCTAAGATGTCATTACAGGCAATGCAGAAGCTGCTTGGCTGGCATGCGAGCATCTGGATCGCTGCAGGGATACCAACAGCACAGGCATGTGGGAGTAAACCTGTCTTTATCTTCGCTTCTCTCTTCTGCTCCTGCCTTTGTTTTGTCTTCAGGTAAAATAAAACCAGCTTGACAGTTACCAAAGACTAAGTTCATGATAATGGAGGCTTAGTACCTGAGAAAATTTGAGATGAGCTGGAGGCAAGACGGAGGCCTGCAAAGCTGTACTTTGGGCTAGCAGAACCACCACTTTGATTTATCAAGTATTAGACATAGCTGCAGAAATAGCTGTTGCTGCAGGTCAGGGAGACAGATTACTTCTGTGGAAAAGGAAAATGCTTTTCAGTATTTTAACACAAACTTTAACATTAATATCTTTTCTCAGAAAAGTCTAACTGTGCTTGTGTAAGTTCTGCAGCAAGCTTATTTAGGGTAACATTCTGCAGTTCTAATTCCAACTCTGGGCCACCAAAGTCTGGACAGCGGTGCTAAGGGACCCTCCTTGTTAGTTTTAAGGTACCTGAAATTGTTTAGACTCAACTCTTCCATCTTCTCTATCGTCTGATGGATTTTCTTTCTAAGGACTCAAGAAGAGAAACACTGACAATACCATTAGAAATGACACAAAATCCCCCACATCTTTCATATGCTTGGATTCTTTCTTCTTTTAAAAGGGTAACAGCTGCACTGAGGGAAATGCTTTTGTATCTATATGAATGCTATAGCTGTTGTCTGTGTGTTCATATAATTGTTTTAAAATTGTTTAAAATTAGTTGTTAACTAGTTTTAAATTAATACAGTGCATTGCTTGCACTATAATCTCAAATTGCAAAACACTGCACCTATAGACTATATCATAAATTTCTCCACCTAATGTTAACCTTCTAGATCCATACTCAGACTCCACAAAAAGAAGGTTTTTGTAGCATTTTCCCTGCTCCATGTCTGTTCCATTTCCCCACCACAGCCCTGTGCCCCTGGAGTGCTGCTGGAGCAGCCTTTCCCATGTCTGCTCACGTGTCAGTCTTGCTCCATGGTTATGGACTCTCCCCTCCCAAGACCCAGCACCGGCATCTCGTGGCCTGGAGGTTCAGCAGCTGGAGATGTGGGTAAGGCTGTAGGTCTGTGAACATCTGAAAGTGGGGGGAGGTTTCCAGCAAATGAAGTGCAATTGGAAATCCAGTGGTTAGTTGTGAAGAAGAGCTTTCTCAGTTTGCTTTTTGTTCCTTAACTGAAACTTCAGAACAATGTCTGCTTTCAGACCTGCAAGGCCCTCGAGAGCTCACTCACATAATTCTAATAAAAGCTAAGTGATCCTTCTGCAACAAGACATTTAAATAAACGTGGTGATTATATACGGCAGTTTATCAAGAGGCAAGGTTGAAGGCATAAATGTACTATTACTGATAGGAACAATTCCCTTTTCAGAGGTTCCAGAAACTTCTTGTGTTTCAGCTCAAGCACTTATGAAATGACACATCTTCATATTTTTGATCATTACTTCCACTGTTTAATGTAATTCTGTGTGTAAAGGAAATGAAATGCTAGATTGGATTATACATTTATTTCAAGATTTCACTTTTTTTGCAAGGATCTTGCAGAAGCATCAGGTTCTAAGGTCTACTGATAACCCACCAGTTTCTGCAGAAAAAAAAACTTTTCATTTTTAATTCACCCCATCAGTTTCAAAGATGGTCCAAATCACTTCAAGCTGAGGCTGTCTCGATTCTGCAACCGCAAGCTGTCATCAACCAAATTAATCTCTGCTTTATTCCCTTTGTATTTAACAGCAAGTGATTCACCACCCCATCTATTTTACTGATGTGGAGAATCTGGAAGATTCTTCTACTGGTGAAGATGAAAATGTAAAACTTGTTAAATCATTTCAGTGCTAGTCATTTGAATGGCTCCTTACAATGATACATAGGGAGAAAGACTGCTTTCTTTTCTGGGTTTTCCTCCATGCTTTGTGCTAGCTCTTGTTCACTTGGTTGATGAAAGCTCTTAGCAAAACAGATCTTTGCCCAAACTTTACTTCCAAGACAATTTTCATATTTCAGTGGAATGACAACCAGAAGTAGCTGCTGTTTATTTCGGGAGGAAAGGATTAAGCCAGAAGTTTCCACACAAATGCAGAACAGAACCATTTAGAATAAGGCATTGCTGTCACAGGGTTATCAACAACACAGGTTTCTAGATAGAGTTTAAAAAAAATCAGATTGTTTCTATTTATAACTGCCTTTGCCTTGGTAACCAGAGACTGTGTGAGGGATGCAGTATTTTCCCATCATGGATGTCTCCAAAATCCATGCGCAGACATGCAGTGCACTCAGTGTCTGCAGAGCCACCACAAGAACTGGCACATTCTTTTCTAAGAGAGGATTTTACATACTAAGCAGCAAAGAGAAGATTGCAGTAGGAGTTATATTAGTATAGATTCTAAATAATTTGTACTCATTTCTATCTTACCTACTATGTTCTTTGATCTTTTAAGTATTTCAAGGACCGCTGCACTTAAACACTTTTTCTTAATCACCCCGAGCAGCTTACCCAAATCCGAGGTGGTGGGATTTACTCATAATTGGCTACATTATGCCTGCTTTATCAAGTGGTTGAATGAGGTAAGAATGGACTTGAATTGGTGTTTCTTCATACTTTAAATCATTCTTGCTTACCTTAAAATCAGCTGTTTCCTACTTCACAAGATTACCTGCAGCTTAGGTGTCCTTACAGCCCTCTGCAGTGCTCAAAAGCCAAACCAGGCTACGTTCTCACCACTGCACTGCTGTGCTGAGCTTTAGCCCTGCTGGGAGAAAGGCATTCCAGCTCTGGATATCTGTTTTAGCCACAATTCTGTGTTGTTGTGTTCTTCTTATCCTTTTACTGTCAGGAAAGGTAGAAGAAACCAAGTGTGTCTCTCTGCCACCGTAACACCCAGGTACTCCATTTTATTAGAAAATGGATGTGGTAAAATGAAGAGAAGGTAAACACAGGCTCAGAAATCAGGGCCCTTACTGAACTTCTAGTGGACTTGCTTCTCTCTTAATAGCTTCACTCCCCAGTTATGATCTGGAAAGTAATTTCTGATCTTCTGTCTAAGGCTCCTGGAAGTCAGTGGCAGAGCAACATTGTCAGGGAAGAAGGGGAAATATTTCTGGGAAGCAGGGCAGGATTGGTAGATTGCTGCGCTCCTGAGATATTCAGGGATATCTGACTAATAAAATCACACTATTGGGATAAAAGCACTCACTGCATTGTCATCTTAGGGAACAATACATTTTCACATGCAGCCTTTTTTTACTCTAGTTGCTATTCAGCTAGACACTTGCTCTTATGAAATACTGCAGGTGAAGAAAACTCATCTGGGGACAGAAAGGAGGCAGTGGGAGCACTGGAGCCCTGCCTCACTCCTCATATTCTGGTTGGAGATCCCAGGGCTGGCATATGGTGCAGGAGGTGGAAGCTTTGTGCCATTTGGGAGTTTCCTTCTATTCGCCTGCTGATGTAGTTTAGGCAGAATGTAGGTGACACAAAAAGTCATTCAGAGTTCTTGTTTCAAATGTAATGACTCTTGCTGCTTTTTTTCCCACACTGCCTATATAAATAATTAAAAAAATAATCAAGATAATAGCACAAGCAATTTCAAACTCTCAAAACCGGGAATAGTGGGAAGGGACCAGCAGTTTAGGACATAAAACCACAGAAAACTGAATCATCACACCTGTTCTGGCATGTTTATAGGGAGAAGTCTGAGTTGCCATAAGACAAGTATGGACTGGTTTTGGGCAAGTGAAATTTTGGGTTCCATTCTTCTACAGGAGCAGAACCCTAAAAACAGGCTTTACTCACTGTTACCCCTGTGCTACCCGCAATGATCCTGCACAGAGATTTTCACGAATCCTGAGCCACTCGACAGGTTTTAGATGTAACCACATTTGCCTTTGACTGCCAGACAGATTTGCTGGTCCCTGTGGGAAAGAGAGGAGATGTTCTCAGGAGCTGGTTTCCCCACCTTCGAGGGGCCGGCCTTGCCTCATGGGTGCTGTTACCGGGAGCTGTCAGGGTACAGAGCCACTGGAGATGGGGCAGAGAAGCTGTGTCCCCCGCCTCTGCCGCCCGTGCTCCTCTCGGGGCTCAGGAGGTGGCTGCAGGCACTGCGCCTTTCTGTGGGGCTGTGCCTCCAGGCAGCGGGAGCATGAGAGCTGCCAGGACACTTCCTCGGCTCTCCCATGGCCTTTAGCAGTCTTTGGAGCTAGTTCAAGTAACACAGGAGAGGAGCACTGTGTTGTTTTGCCAAACAAGAGATTAAATGGAGCCAAAGGTGAAGAAACACCGCTGCACAAACAGCGCCGGGGAGCGCTTCAGCCACACGGCCAACCGAGAGCAGCCCTGGCTGTGCTGCCTTGGTCGGAGCTCGACTGAGATCAGCACTGCTGTGCCTGGGCTGGGTACGCAGCGCCTGAGGGAGCGCTCCCAGCTTGGGATGACTCCCTGCCGAGATACCGTGCCGGCAATGGAGGACGGGGCTTGCTGCGATGCGCAAATGCCTTTCCCGGGCACTGCCTTCCAACCCCCGAAGCAAAAGCACAAGGCTGGAACGGCAGGGAGGCTGCGGGGACAGCTGATAATGTCCCACGGCCATGGGGCCTTTCCCGCGGACCTTCACGCGTGGCAGCGGCCGTGAGCAGGCGAGGAGCCCATGCGGGCCCGGCCTCCCTCTGCAGGCAGCGCGGCGCTGCTCCCCTCGGGCCGCCCCGGGGCCTCCCCGCGCCGCCGGCCCCGGCACTGCCTCCCCGCCGCCTTGGCCCCCGCTCCCGCCGCGGCCGGGGGCAGCACCGCTCCGAGGCCCTTCCAGCCCAGCCCAGCCCAGCCCCGCGTACCCGAGCAGTGACCGCCCTGCCGCGGCGGCTGAGCGCAGCCGCTCCCGCTCGGGCGCTGCGCAGAGGCGGCCGCGGGGCCGCGGCGCGGGCGGAGCGGGCGGGCCGGGCCGGGGGCCGGGCCTGTCCCCGCGGCGGCCCCGGGGATCTCCTGCCCGCGGCGCGGGGCAGCGCGGGGCTCGGGCAGGGCCTGCCCGGCGACCGGGGCCGCGCTGAGCCGGCGGCGGGATGGCCTTGGTGCCCTACGAGGAGGGAGGCGGCTGGACAGCGCGGCAGCTGCACAGCCCTTGGGCCACCTTCCACTTCGCCAGCCGCACCATCCGCCTCCAGCAGGACTGGCGGCGCCTGGGGGTGGCGGCCGTGGTCTGGGACGCGGTAGGTGTTCATGGCAAGCGCAGCCTTTCCGCACTCGGTGGCTTCCCGTGGCTCTTGCCGAGCTTTCAGATTCAACGTAGGAAATTAATTACCGTAGAATTGTAAAGGGAAGGCTTTTAATTTTTTTTTTTCATGTTAGGAAAGAATAAGTTAAACTATGCCTTACTTTTCCCTCTTCCCCCATAAGAGATCCTGCAGGAATGCAAGAGAGATGCACCATCCAAACCCTGCATAGCCAGTGCCCAATACAGGAAATATCCCGGATAACTCTCACCTCTTTCTTTACAGTGGCTGGTGATGTTAGCTTGGCACCTTTCAGAGCACAGCACAGATCCAAGCAGGACTGCCGATAGCCTTTATCTTGGGGATAAGAACCGTCCAAAACAGAGAGGTTTGCGATGGGTCCAAGGCCACAGCGCAGTTGCTCACAGCATCACTGCAGGAATCCAAGGGCTTCCCATTGGGGTGGATTTCAGTCCACACACAGATTGCACTTTTACCTCTTTAAAAGAAGAAGTGTAGCATTTTTAGCAAACTTCCCAAATGAATTGGTGTACAGGGTTGCTGATCTTTCTGGACATCAGCTTTGACAGAACTTGCTGCGGGAGAGGTCCTCCTCAAGATCTATATAACATATAACATGCTTATATAACCAGCTAGAAGTGTCATTAGTTTACTTTCCCTGTGTCCTTCCTGAGGGCATACCAGTGTTGTGCAGAAACCTTTTGAAATACCGTACAAGATACTATGAAACCTTATTCTGGACTCTTGCAGTACTGGGTTCATTTGCTAGTATTTGACAACCTCTCAAACTTCCTTTGAGGAAATTTTTTCCAGGTACAATTATTGTATTTCCTTTCCAATGCAACTTTTCCTTTCCAAATACAACTCTTTCTACCTCCTGTTAATGTTTGGGGATTCATGGAGCAGTTACCACATCTAAGTTGTAACCTCTGTGGTTCTTTTTTCCTTTTTCCAGTAGGAGTCTTCCATAAAACTCTATAAAAAATTTCCATAAAGCATAAAAAGACTACAGGTGCACACAGGAGGTGGAGAAGTGCTGAACAAAGTTTGCTGCAGACCTGAAGCACCTGACCCTTCCTATTACCTTCTCCCTCAGGTTAAACCAGAAAGCCTGTGTTCAGTATGACTGAAACCCTGTGCCTAATCGTCCTTCTCTCTTGGCTTAGGCTGTTGTTCTGTGTGCTTATCTGGAGATGGAAGGCATTGATCTCAGGGATCGGTCTGTGATTGAGCTGGGAGCTGGAACTGGATTGCTGGGAATAGTGGTCACGTTACTAGGTAAGGGCTTTTTTGTTGTCTGGTTTAAAGCAAATCACAACTGTAGTAAAACTAGCTCTTTTACATGTACATGCCTGGTGTAGAAGTGAGCACCAAAGCTGCGCGTGTGAGCTGTGATGGTTCTGTGGGTCATCTTCCTTCCTGGGTAGACTCAGAGCCCGCTGGGTGTTTGTTGCAGCCATGGTGCCCCTGCAGTTTGCTCTGTGGCGGGACCCTGTTGAGGCTGACGCCTGTTGCCATGGCAGGCAGCTCAGCAGCATTCGGCTCTGCAGCTATTCCCCCCAGGGACAGGAGCTGTGCTTCCCCTCTTCCCCTTGTCCTCCCATGCAGATAAAGCTACAGACAGAAACCACTCTCCGAGCTTGCAAAAGCCTTTCATTAGCCTGTCTTGCACACAGGGCATGGAGAAATGAAGTGATTTTCTGCTGATCTGTCTGTGGATAAAGCAGGAACTGGGTACTATGTTAAATTTGTGCAATCTTTCCCAGGTTAACTTTGTAATTCAAAGCTCTAGTGGCTGTGAAAGGTGCCTATTGAAATCATAGGAACAAAACAGTTTGACAAAATACAGTCAAGCCATGAAAAATCATACAGGCATAACTTTTGTCTGACCTGTGAAAGACGCTCTCTAACTGCCTCTCTCCTATAGAAAAATATGGTATTGGAGCAGGTTAATTGTAACATCCCCTGTAATTTATTCTTTTGTCACATGTAGAAAGGCCAAAAGTAACTCCTTGACTTTCATGCATTAAGAAAAAGCACCAGAAAATTTGGTTTTTTCCCTACCCAACTTAATCTTTATACACTTTATATTCTTAAGTGACTGATGGAGGGTAGGATGTCTCTAGACAGGGGGGTTTTGCTTATTTTGTTCTTTTATTTGTTTGTTTTCAATCAGGCAGCTCAGAGGAGCTGTTAATGTTTAACAGGACCTAAGGAGCCTGCTGGAGTTAAGCACTGTATTCCACATGCTGCATTGAGGGATGTGTGTGGATTGTGAGTGTGAGCCATGCCCTCTTGTCCCCTTAGGTGCCCGAGTTACCATCACAGACAGAGCAGCTGCACTGGAGCTCCTGGAGTCAAACGTGCAGGCGAACTTACCCCCTGAACTCCGTCCCAGAGCGGTGGTGAAGGAGCTGACGTGGGGAAAGGACCTGGATAACTTCTCTCCAGGAGCATTTGACTTAATCCTGGGTGCAGACATCGTTTATCTGGAAGAAACATTTGCAGAACTGCTGCAGACGCTGGAGTACCTGTGCTCAGAGCGGACGGTGATTCTCCTCTCCTGCCGCATCCGCTACGAGCGCGACCTCAAGTTCTTGAGGATGCTGAGAGAGCGTTTCTCTGTGTCTGAGGTCCACTATGACTCCAGCAAGGATGTTCATATCTACAAAGCACAGAGGGGTAGTCGCAAGGATGACTTGTGACTCTCTGCTTTGTTAATAAGCCACTGATGCTGTTCAATTCTCCCCTTTGTTTCTACTCAATACACTTGTTCCTGAGCATGAAGTTGCAGTTGTGTTATTTCACTGGCTTCTTGTTCTGATGGTCTTGTCTGATCACTGGGTCTGATACAGCAAGGATTGTACTTCTGTTCTGCATATTGAACCTCTGCTTCATATCTGAATAGAGTCATATCCAACATCAAAATTGTTATATCAAAAGGTATGTTGTCTGAAATCAAACCACATTTAACTTCTGGGGGAAACTTAAAGAGATTACAATGGGGTTTTTCCCTTTATCGCTGCCTTAACTCTAGAAAAGTAGGAGAGTAGGATGAAATAAAAGTAGTATGAAATAAAAGCTAATGCTCCAGCTCTAAATGCTTTAACTCTTCAGGACTTCTGCATCTTAGAAGTTGTGGTAAAAGAAACCACTTAAAAGGCAGAAAAGAACCAAAGGCAGATGCTATAAAGTTGTTTTATTGCTGTCACTACTGCGTTGAGGAGGCACAGTGAAACAAAGAACAAAATCCGGAGGGGCACTGGGAACAAGGGTTGCCAAGTAAGCCAGCCTAAAAATCAGTGCTATTTTTACCTGATTTGCAAGTGAGTGGGCTACACCTGCAGTATTGAAGCAGTTGTGGTTTCTGAGTTGTCCATAACAAGTCTGCCTCATACAGATCAAGGCTCGTGGAGGATATACACGTGCACATGTGCTGCTGGGAAAGTGCAACAAGGAAACTCAAGCTGTTCTTAAAATATCAAATCAGCCCTTGACTCTCAAAGTACCACTAGGTAATGTTCTACTTTGTGCCTTTGTGCTCCCTCTGTCTCTGAGGGCTGTTACTTAGGGCAGGAGGGTGCTCTGTAAAGTCTTTGCAGCAGGGGAACTACTTACTCTTGAATTACTTGGGACCTTGGGGCAGTGTCTAGGTTTCAGTGCACAGTGGTAGTTAAGACACTGCACCAAGTAACAGATTTCATACCTTGAGCTTGTAAAACACATCTGTGTGTTTATCCCACAAGATCTGGGAATCCATCTCGCACCAGCAGCAGACTTCCTTCTCGTTCTAGTGGTGGAAGAATGAAATTGATGAAAACAATGGCTAACAGAAAACAGCTACACCTCTAAACGCAGGAATTGCTTTAGTACCCTTTTTTGTGTGTGTGGATGTGGAACTTTTTTTGCTTTAAACTTAAAAAGCCTCAGTTCAGGCTCAGACTTTGAGCATGTGTGGGTATTTGACACTGGCAACAGCAAACGGCTCAGCAGAAAAAAGCAGCTTTGGGCCATGGGCATTTTGGAAATTTTTGTCACTTTTGCTTCCATTATACTTCCTGGTCGGTGGTCCAGAAGTGCTGTGCTGACTGTAATGTGGAAATGACACATTTGTCATTAAGGTTTGAGTTTTATCTCTGGCACATCTCTTGCATGTTTTCAGCGAAGTTCCTTGCTTGGCTTCAGACCCGCCTGGAGTTGCTGTTCTGGAACACTTGCTGTAACAGTATCCTCAGAAGCCACATGGTGTCACTAAAACAGTGCTTAGGCAGCTGGCTGGGAATTCGCAGCCTGAAACTGGAGTTGGAGTCAGTTTGGGGGAAGGAAGACAGCATCTTTAATTGAAAACAGATCATGAGATGAGCTCTCACGTGTCAGGTGTAGCTCCTTCTGTCCTCTCAGCTGGGTGAGCAGTGGTTGAAAAGAATTGTGAGCTCTCTTCCCTCTCTCCGGCTCTAGTTTTGGAAGTGTGGCTGTAAGTTCTCACCTCTCCTTTTCCTTTTCCTCCCCACTGGTGTATCCTTGTCTCCAGACTCACCTGGGAGTAGCCATTAGGCTCATGTGTAACTCAGGCTCCCCTTGGGCTGGAGCTGGCAGAAAGCAGTGTGCTGGTGCCTGGGCTCGTGAGTGCCCAGGGGAACCTTCCTGTGGGAAGAGCCTGGCAGTGCTGGGCCCTTGCAAGAGGCTGGAGCTTGCAGCACTGACAACCATAGCAGCTTGCACTGTTGCCATAGCAGGAACATGCTAAAAATTCTGCTTAAATAGCTCAGAATAAAGGCTGGTGCAGCAACCTGCACACTTCTAAGAAGGGGGTTTTGCCCCAGGCCTTGCTTTGGCAATAGAAACAGTTTTGTACTTTTAAACCAGTGCAGATTAATTCCATCTAATTGTTAAGTTTTCAGTGTCAGATACCCCATTGGTGGTGTTACAGCCCACAGCCATCCTGCCAGAGCAGGGATGTGCCAGTGGAGATTGGGCTTGGCTCCTTTCTCTGTGCTGCTGTTACACAGCAGCTGCATGCACACCCAAGGGAGGGTGTCTGAAGGCTGCAGTGATGCTACTGTCCATAAATAACTGGGGAAAAGCGCAAGATGGCACTGGCAGCTCAGGTGAGTGCCTTGCCCGTGACCTGCAGAGCTCTTGGTGGCCCCTCCCCAGCCCAGCAAGTGGCATCCCTCAAGGGGACACCTTCTCCCCTGACTGCCACTGGGGCACACGTCCTGTTAGACTTAGGAGACCAGAGCCAGGAATACTGCAGTTAGGCCACAGCCACGTACATGTCAGTTGTGGCTGCATTTAAAGCTACAGCGTTTAGGGGCAGGCATCAGCAGTGAGAATGTAGCTCAGCTGAAAGCCCAGTCCATCCTCCCGGGCAGTGCTGACACCCACGTGCACCAGGCAGGGAGCGCTGCCTTCTGTTGTCCCAGGCTGGCTTTGCAAGTGCTGTGTGTTCCCACCCACCTACCTTCAGGGAGAGGTCAGCAGTGAGTCAGGCTGCAAGTGAATGTCGCCAGGCGTGCAGGACGAGCAGCAGAGCGTGAGCGCTGGTGAGCACAGGGAGCAGCCCTCGGCAGTGACACCTGCAAACTCCCAGCCCACGGGTCCCATGGAGCTCCTGCTCTACTATGAGATGATGCATGACTACAGCTGTTGCCAGCAGCTGTTTGGCAATGATACCAACACCCTGCCCAAGCACTTTCGGTCACCCTGTTCATCCCAGCACTAGAGAATCCTACTCCTTTGGGTGGCTCCATTGCACTATCCTGTTCTGTAACATGTGATCTGAGCTCATCTGTAGAAGGATATGTTTGCCATGCATCCCTGAGGAGTGGGGCAATGCACTAATAGTCTCCTGAGAAATTCACTCACTCTAGAGAGTGGGTCCAAGCCACAGGGGAGCGACCAAGTAAGACACAACCATGATGTGACACTGAGAAACCATCCCTGAAACATGTGCAAGAGAACAAGCTTTTCTGAAATGCCATTGCAGCCAAGGTAATGTTTGACTGATATTAAGATACATAGCTGACTACACAGGGATCTGTGTTACCCAATTCTTTTCAGTGCAAAATTCAAGCCAAAGTGCATTTTTATCTCAGGGACTAACCCTGTTTGGGATTCTCTCATTACTGTAGGTTTTTCTGAGCAAGAATGTGAATGGCATTATAAAAACTAGAAATCCCAGCTGTAATGAGCTGACCTTACTGCTTCCCCTTGACTTCACTGGAGGTGTGTTTACCTCAGTGCTGAATTTGTTCTCCTGGCTTCCATCCCAGTGTTTGGATCCAGCCTAGCAATTACATAATGGGGCTGTGATCCTTGCAGTGTTTGCTGCCTTCTGTTTCTGTTCTGTTCTGAAGACCAGTAGTACATGGTTTACAGGAATGCCTAAAAGTGAGACATGCAGCATATTTAAACTGTGAAAGACATAAGCTTTTCAAACATTGTTAAACAACAGAACTGCCACCAGAATGGGTACTGGAAAACAGGTTTAAAAATATCAGGAGGAAGAGAAACTTCGCTTTTCAGGACTTAACCTCTAACTAATCTAATTCAATTAAGATTAAAAACAGCCTTCTCTTTGGGGAGAATACTTTATGAATACTTAGGGCAGAGCACAGATTGAGATGATACCACAGACTGCTCAAAATACACCTTTTCCCATATTCTTCTAGCTGCATTACACTAAATTAAATTAGTGTAAATGGAACACCCTGCTCAAAAAAGAGACTTTGTAGAGTTTTTTAAAGCATGTTTATGTGACTGCACATAAATGTTTGTGTAAAAAGGGAGTTATGACAGTTTATACCACAAAGGTTACAGTAAGAAAAAGCACTTCTTTATGACAATAATTCACAAATTCACAAGAATCACTTTAATATACAAAGCAATTACTACCATTCTGAAACACAAAGCAGCTAATATGTACATAGTGTTAATAAAATGCATTATAACCCAGTACAATTCCTTTTAAACACAGATAAAGAAAAAAAAAAGAAAAAAAAAAAAAGAAAAAAAACACAACAGGGATGTTTCTAGATTTTTGGGGAGATGTAAAAAAGCCTTTATTTTCCCCCAGTGATGGATTTTCATTTAGTCTTTTTAACTTCCACAAGTATGTGGGAGTCAAGCTCAAATACCCTGTTCTGTGCTGACATGGTTTGGGTAAAGAATCAGAAATGCAGATGAGGTGAACATACTCTTTCCAGCTTACACTACAAAGGGAGAATAATACCCTCGGCTCTGGAAGCTTCCCTGAAAAACACTGTTTCAAAACAATTTCAAATTATAAATCCAGAGTAGAAACAACTAATTTCTGAAGTGAACAACCAATCTGTGGAAAAAAGTCTGTGGAGGGGCTGGCTACCAACTAGCACCTCTTCTTGTCCTGTTCCCATCCCAAGAAGTCCATTATAAGCAGCACAGTTTCAAATCTCATTTAAACTTGAAGTTGTGGAACATTTTAAAATTAAAGTTTTAATATAAAAAAATGTAATTCAACACACAAAAAATGGAGTGGCACCTGGATAAAACACAACTTGTGGAGAGCACCCAAACATCCTTAGTTGTTAAGAGTGGCCATTTCCAGATAAGCAACTGGCTCAAGGCCTGCCATCCCCATGCTCTCTCTCAGCTATCCCCTAATTTAGAGGAATATGCAGCTGAGGCTGAGTGAACTGCTCGAGTCCTGAGTGCAGTGAATGCTCAGCTTATGGAGCGTGCCAGCCATGGGTCATTCCAGCCTGCCCCTGGCCCTTTCCCTGCCAGCACACAGCTCCCGAGGACAG